TTGATTTATGTTGTATAACACTTGGTACAACAAATGCTTGGCACTTTCATAGCCCATAATGTATGGTATAACCGACACCTGAGCTATGAAAGGAACTTGATTTGTTGTTAACATAAGTTATAATCATGAATGCTTGACGAGATTTACAAGTATTAGCATTAATTGAATAAGATGACTAATGTAATCATGTTAACAATATATAATCTGATTGGAACCTCCTTTGTGTGTGGTTTCCAATTCAATAATAAGAGTTTATACTATACTTGTTTGATATACCATTAGTGGAACCTCTAACCTTGACATTTGTTATTATTATTGTTTAATCCTTACATTAATATTTCATCTCTAAATTCTCATCATCATCATCTTCTTCTTCTTCTCTTTCTTTATTATTATTATTATTGTTATTATTATTATTATTATTATTAGTACTACTACTACTACTTATAATTGTTGTTTATAATTTGTACAATTAACCTCCCTGTGGTTCGACCCCGGTCTTGCCGGGTTATTATTATTATTATTATTATTATTATTATTGTTGTTGTTGTTGTTGTTGTTGTTGTTGTTATTGTTGTTTTATAATTATTGTTTATAATTTATACAATTAACCTCCTTGTGGTTCGACCCCGGTCTTGCCGGGTTATTTATTACTTCGACACTCCTGCACTTGGGAGAAGACATCAACCTTTTAGTCGTGTCAATATACATTGACCCTTTAATGTTAACTTTTTTAATAATAAAAAATATTTTATTATCTTTATTGATGACTACTTACATTATGGGTTTGTCTATTGATTGCATAAGAAATCTCAAGTAATAACCCTAGAGATGTTTATTAACGAGGTTGAAAGAAAACACACACACACACACACACACACACATAAAGGTAAAAGTTGTAAGGTTAGATAGAGTTCATGAATATTATGAAATATATAACAAAACTGGACAACAATAAGTCCATTTTATAAATTCTTTAAAAAAAATAACATTTATACTAAACATATAATGTTAGGTACATCATAACAAAATGATATAGCAAACAGAAAAAAAAATATGTTTTATTAGATATGATTAAGAGTATGTTAAGTTATTCATTTTACCTATATTATTGTGTATGTATAAATTGAAAAATACCATGTATATTTTAAACAGGTCCCTAGTAAGGTAGTTTCATAACATCTAATGAATTATAGACTTGTCAAAAACCTAGTTTAAGACACCTGTATATATAGGGTTGCCTAATAAAAATAAAAATTTATAATCCACATAAAAAAAATAGATTCAAGAACAATAAGTGAAATCTTCATTGTTATCCAAAAAGATCTAAAAGATATAGATTTTATTATCCATTCATAACACATGAATTTGTAAAACTAATATTGCTAAGAGTTAGTGGGAATGAAGCATCATGTAATTATATCTTCTAAAGTTACTGTTTGTTTAATTGTTGAACAATTTAATCATTACCAAAAGCAACAAATGAATGATTATATACCTTTCTAATGAAAATATTATTATTAAGCTAAAAGAAATAGCATTAAAAAGGTCTCCAACATAAAGAAAAATTGTTATTAAGGATTATGTGGTATATTTATAAGAGTCAAAATTTAACTTAAGAATTAATAATGATCCTATTTTATATTTCACAAGCCACTAAATAATATTAGTAATTTTGATAAATGAGTAGATGTCATAAAAGATGAATTGAAGCAAACAAAATAAAATAACATTTAGAACCTTGTTGAAATACCTAAAGTTTACAAAATAGTTAGATGTAAAAGGGTCCTCAAGACCAAATAAGACTCAAATGATAATATTGAACAATATAAAGCTAGACTTGTTATCAAAAGTTTTACTCAAAAAGATAATATTGAATACAAAGAGACCTTTTCACCGGTTTCTAAAAAAAACACTTCAAATTATCATAGCTTTTGTAGTTATTATGGCTTAGAGTTACATTAAATGAATGTGAAAACTACCCCTCTAATAGAGAATTTAGATGAATAAGTCTGTATGGATCAACCAGAAAAGTTTTTAGCTAATGGAAATGAGCATATGGTATGTAAACTTAAGATATCAATATAAAAAGTTAAACAATCATCCAAAAAATGATATTTAAATTTTAATGATATTATTATTTCCTTTGAATTTAAGAAAAATACTATTAACTAGTATATAAATTCAAAGGTCAATGAGAACAAATTTATATTCATGAACTGTATGTTGATGGAATTTTATTTACATATAATGATCTTGATTTAATATAAAAGAATTAGAAATTCCTCTATAATAAATTTGCGATGAAATATATGAGATAGACAACTTATATGATTGCGATAGAAATATTTTAAGATAGATCACAATGATTGTTATAAGGTTTTCTAACAAAACATATATCTACAAATTTTTATTGAGATTTGGAATAGATAAATCATAGCAAATATGGTTCCAATTAAAAAATGAGATAAATTTAATTTCTTACAATGCCTAAAGAATGAATTAAAAAACAAATAAATAGAAAGAATTCTTGATGCATCAATTGTTAGGGGCTTGATGAATTATCAAACTTGACTAGGCTAGATAATAGTTTTGCTTTTTAAATGCTAGGAAGTACCAAAGTTATCCATGTTTGGATCATTAAAAGACTAAAAGGAAAGTATTAAGATAATTGAAAATAATAATTTTTTTTATTAATTTATAGAAAACTAGATCATATTGAGATGGTTGAATATTTAGATTCAGATTTTGTTAGATATTTGGAGACAAGAAAATCAATATTTGAGTATTTGTTCCCTTTAGCTAAATGAAAAAACTCATGGTAGAGTGCGAAGGGTCTATTGCTATCGTATCCACTATAAAAGTTGAATTTGTGACATGTTTTGAGACCACAACTTAAGCAAATTAGTTATAGAACTTTTTTTCAAGATTTAAAATAGTTGATGGTGTCACCAAGCCATTAAAAATTTATCATGATAATTTCCCAACTATTTTTTCTATAAAAACAACAAGTTGTCAAATAGTGCAAACATATGGAATTGAATATTATATTGTTAAAGAATAATTTCAAAAACAAAAAATACCAATTGAAAACATAGCACCAATCTTATGATTGTTGATTCATTAACAAGATAATTACCGCATAAAAGCTATCATGTTGAAAGAATAAGTATTATTGATGTCATGATTTTTTATGATGCTTATATATTTAACACTTAAAGGTAATCTTACGTATATATTTACTATATTTTTTATTTTTTAATTAGAATATATGTTTAAATTAGCATGATGATAGCATGAATTGTTTTTGATAATGACATTATTGTTGGATCAAGTACATGCTTCGCATTTATAGGTGATATTAAATAAGAACTAATATTATATAGTTCGAGTCCTTGGTTGCTCATATGATGGCCACTGGAGGCTTACATGGTCGTTAACTTCAGGGCCCGTGGGATTAGTCGTGGTGCGCGCAAGCTGGCCCGGACACCCACGTTAATTTAAAAAAATAAAAATAAAAAAATAAGAACTAATATTATATAGTACATGGAAAGAACCACGTCGAACAGATGATATACAACCATGATGACTCTTATTAGTTCTCTTGCTTAATAATTATGATATATGATATGATTAATATATATATAGTTTTAATGTTACTCTAAGCGGATTATGGTAGTATATTTATTAAATCATGAAAAAAGATAATATTATGTGAGCTAAGTAAGAGAATAGAAAATATGGCTTATATCAATGAAATAATGGGCTCTTGAATAATTTAATAAATATTAATATTGAAACCATATTGGTTAATTTTGAGAAGTGGTTTTTTATTATAACCATATAAAATGGATGGATATACAAGATTAGAAGTCTATTAAAAAAATTTAAAAAATTGGTCATTTTTTTATCCTATAACTATATGTTTTCTTCCATAGAAGAAGCATGTGTGAAAATAATTTTTATTCTCTCAAACGACTTTCTATGGATCAAGGCACATTTTCTTTTAATAACTATTTGAATATGAAAATCATAAAGTTACAAGATTATGAGCATTATGATTTATATTTGATTGTTGTTGTTTAAGAATTAAAGAAATATATACTTACATTGAAAATATCCATAATTCAAAGAAAAGGATCGATTGGCTGAACTTATCAGCTTTTAATGGCCCGCTGAAGTTGTTCCAGCAATGAGAGCAGATCAGGTCTCCTGGTGCCTTCTCTTGGTGTCAAAAGGTAATATTATGACTAACACGAACAAGGAGAACTCAACTGTTTAACTAAAGAAGAGAATAAATGGGTTGTCTGTTGAACAAAACAGCTGAAGGAACAACCAAAAACAAACACTTTCTATTATATTTGTAATACGAAGAGCACTTGCAAAACGCTCACACAAAGCAGCTTACTCAATTTTCACTCACACTTCTCTAAGGCACACAGCACAGGGAGGGATCTTGAAAACACAGAGAAGAACGCTCACTTACACAGCATAAGTCGATTTATATGTCGTGAAAATTCTTATGAGCAAGTTCCAGTGAAAATTCTTCTCTGCGCTCATTGGCTGCAACTTGAATACTAAGTTGGCTGCTTTGTCGTGACGCGGTTGGCTTGTTTCTTGTGCTAGTGGTTTGAAGCTTGGTTCACAAGCTAGCATTTTATGATATCTCACCCATCTGGCATTCATATTTGTTTGGTAAGGAGATTGAGCGTATATTAATTAGATTGATCACACATGAACTAAAATCGGGTTGATCTAATGTCTCTCACAAGACCTTGCTTTAAATAAATATCGTCCTTGTGTCTCAAGTATGCGAGGACACATGGAGCCCTAACCCTTCTCCTTACTGCTTCGACCCATAACCTTCAAATAAATATGTGTGAGGTCATGTGAAATCAAACGACTCTTCCTAAACCATTGAATAAAAAAAACCTTACCCTTTAAAATATAAAATAAAAGGAACATAACAGGACTGATTCACCACGTATAAATCTCCTTCATTTTCACCTTTTGTTTAATGAAAAAAGAACTATCAACATAGTATAAGCTTGAAGATAGACGATAAGGCTGGAGAAGGTAGGCCAAGATCAAAGAAATGTTATCGAACACAAGTTTTGAAGCTGCCCCTTTGTTGGGGCGTAGCAACAGTACTGTAGAAGAAGGTGAAAAGAGGAGGCTGCGGTGGAAGAAGGTGTTAGATGTAGAAGAGGCCAAGAACCAAATCTTGTTTTCACTGCCCATGATTCTTACTAATGTTTTCTACTACTTGATAACTTTGGTCTCTGTCATGTTCGCTGGTCATCTCGGAGAACTTGAGCTTGCTGGAGCCACCCTGGCTAACTCATGGGCTACGGTCACTGGTTTTGCCTTCATGGTAACCCAACCTCCCCCTTCATTTCATGATTTTTTTCCGAGTAATAAGTCGGGCTCATATCTTAGTTCTTGCCTTGTATTACTTCCTTAATTCCATCTTCATCCCATTTTTAACGTCTGATTCTAGAATTGTTTCAAACCGATAAGATGTGTCTGCCAGAATTGAAATGTGAGATACTGTCAAGATTTTTGTGCTCCACATGTTGCTGTGTGATAAGATTGACCACTTAAAAAACAACAAACGGAGAGCTTAGTCATTATTGCCATCAAGACTAGGACTCCATAATGTTCGCTTTCAATTCTATTGTGGTATGGTCACCATCATTTGTGATGATGGCAGTAATGAATTTAGCAGCACGTTATCATTGGCTTTATAAAAACATGTAAAAGCCCAGCACATTAGCTACATCAAGGATACATGATTTATCGGGCTGGGCTGAGTTTTATTTAGATCGTTGATTGTATAGTCTCTAGAGCAGTAGAAGAAGCCTGTTGAAATGGTAAGAGTCCAGGTGGGTTGCATGTTTGTTCCCAGATCACTAAAGTAAATTAAGAACAGAGTTTCCATAGGCACCAGGCAGGTGGCGGTGATCAGAATTCAAAAGGTGTTGTAAAATAAGAATTGGTAGTGCATGATTGTGTCAAAACACTGTACAGATCATGATAATATTAGTATAATTAGCTAAAAACACTATGATACGCTTCATTCAATCATAAGTTGCCCTTCCTCTTTTTTTAATGATCAAGGTGTCTTTGGACATGCTTTAGCTTTTGTATCCTAAAATGAAGTATTTTCTCTTTCTGTTCTTAGACGGGTCATCCACATTAGAATTGGTGCATTTACCAGATATTTTTTTTCTGGCAGACTCAGTTTTGATTCCAACTACATACAACCCTTAATTTAGGTTTTTTTTCATGGTCTCGGTGTCCTTTGAAAGCCTCTTTTGAGACGATGATATTTAGTTGATCCTATTTTTATCCTCACCTGTTGTTTTTCTTTTTTTTTCCAGGTAGGTTTGAGTGGAGCACTTGAAACACTATGTGGTCAAGGATTTGGTGCAAAGATGTACAGAATGCTAGGAATTTATCTTCAAGCATCCTGCATTATATCATTCATCTTCTGTATTACCATATCGGTTATATGGTTCTATACAGAGCCAATTCTGTTATTACTCCATCAAGATGCTCACGTTTCTATGACTGCTGCTCTCTACATGAAGTATCTCATTCCTGGATTGTTCGCATATGGCATTATGCAGAACATCCTAAGGTTTCTTCAGACACAATCTGTAGTAATGCCCCCTGTGATATTCTCATTAGTACCACTGTGCATTCATTTCGGCATTGCTTATGCATTGGTTCACTATACAGCTCTTGGGTTCAAGGGAGCTCCACTGGCAGCATCAATTTCACTATGGATATCGGTCCTAATGTTAGCAGTTTATGTGATTTGTGCAAAGAAATTTGAGCATACATGGGGTGGGTTTTCATTTGAGTCATTTCATTACATTCTTCATGACTTGAAACTAGCCCTGCCTTCTGCTGCAATGGTATGGTAAGAGAAAGTTTACAGGATTCTGTTCAGTTCTTGATCATGACTAATAAAATCTCACTAGCATTCCACTTCCCAAAATGTTTTGCCAGCTTAGAGTATTGGGCCTTTGAGATTCTGGTGTTCCTAGCAGGACTGATGCCGAGCTCAGAAATAAGCACCTCGTTGATCGCAATATGGTACGTTCAATTACTATTGTCTGTCTTTACCATCTCTTGAAATAAAATTTCTGTTTCTCGTTCTTACTTTGGTTGTCCTTTTTTTATTTTATTTTAATTTTCAGTGTAAACACAGAAACTGTGGCCTACATGTTAACCTATGGTCTCAGTGCCGCTGCAAGGTTTGCTGATAATTTGAATTAAAATTTCGTTTGTTTGGTTATTGTTTCATTTTTCTGTTTTAGATATTGAAATTAATAACTTCATGTAACAGCACAAGGGTGTCAAATGAATTAGGAGAGGGCAATCCAGATAGAGCTAAGAATGCTATGGCTGTGACTCTCAAGCTCTCTGTCCTTCTTGCTCTTCTTGTTGTTCTGGCTCTAGCATTTGGTCACAACATCTGGGCTGGATTTTTCAGTAGCAGCCCTACAATAGCCAAGGAATTTGCATCAATGGCTCCCTTTCTTGCAATCTCGATTACTCTTGATTCTGTGCAAGGTGTCTTGTCAGGTTCGAAACATGCACTTCTCTGTAGATATGGGAAGTTAATTATTTGAGGATTATTTCCAATTTTTCTCATATTTGTCATCAATGAAAGGGAATCAGATACACTTTCTGATTAGAGGACTAATCACAATTTCCTTGATCATTCTTTTCTCAGAATCAATTTGCTTAGATTTTAGAAATGGTTTAAAGAATGAAGTTATCGTAATTTATTTTATTTATTATTATTATTTTGAAGAATATAAGGTCCTGGAGGGAATATCCTTCAATGATGTGCTTCTTCTATTTCACTAAATTCAGAAGCTCCTTATCATCTATATACAAATCTTTCCTGTCAAATTGAAAACGAAAAACCTTTTTTCACAAAATGCATTTGACATTCTGCAGGGGTGGCCAGAGGTTGTGGCTGGCAGCACTTGGCTGTTTATGCGAACTTGGCAACATTCTACTGTATTGGCATGCCTGTAGCTTGTGCTCTTGGATTCAAGTTAAAGCTATATGTTAAGGTAAAGCAACATTGTCAAAGAAATGTAACAAGGCTGGAGCCTGTACTAACTCTTATGAATTCTCATGTATTCACTTTGGTGCAGGGTTTATGGATTGGCTTAATCAGTGGCCTTTGTTGCCAAGCCGGTACCCTCTTGTTAATCACAATAAGGACCAGTTGGACTACAACAGATCTGTCTATAACCAAAGAGAGAGAGAACCCCATTGTTGTCTAACGGTATGTTCTCCATTAATTGTCGACAGACAGTTTAGCTGAACTGCAAGTTACTAGCAAGTAGCAAAAAGTTAGTCATGAAATCAATATGCATGTGGTAGAAACAAGCGTTGTCTTATGATGCAGTGGCTTTCTATAAAGAAATAGATTTTATATTCACTGACCAAGAACAATGACTCTGTCAAAATATCAGGCTGGAGAGAGCATTTGAACTTCAGTTGCATGCATGCACGACGTTAAGCTCAGACGTTTGTGTACTTGATTGGGATTTGTTTCAACTAAATTGCTCCCTCAAATTCTGTCATGGTTGTCATTCAGATTAAAACAAGTCGGCAAAAACCTACAATCAACTTCTCACTTTTGATGTCCCACGAATCTCGTTGCTTACCACCTTCAGAGGGATTTTACCCCAAAAAGGACATAATCTGAACCATTTCAACATATAATTCAAGGACTCATTTGTTGAGACTTGCCGAGTGTTTCTTCAGAAATCTTAAGTTGGGATATGCTATGTATTTTTTTTTCCCTTTTTTTTAATGAAAAAATACGCATATAATAAGAAAAAGAAGGTGCAGATCCGCTTGGAGAAGCTGCTGCGTAGCCAAACCAACATAAACAATGACTTGTGATGATGTGTGCCCATATCGGCTCATAATAGGCCATCCAAGAGATATTATCCCACTGAACTATATGGTAGGTTTTGTCCTAAAAACAACATTTTTTTTTTTTAGATTAACATGGATGTCCAGGTCAGCTTGCGCGTACCACAACTAATCTTACGGGCCTTAAAGTGAACGACCATGTAAGCCTCTAGTGGCCATCATATGAGCAACCAAGAATTCAAACTTGAGACCATAGAAGGAGCAAACCCCTTGGTCCCAAGTTTTTACCACTTGGCCACCACCTACATGGTTTTTTTAAAAAAAAAACAACATCTCTTGAAGAGAGAGGTTGAGTCTCTGGAACTATATAGTGGCATTATCATAGCCTCCCAGGCGATTTAGACACCGTCAATGATAATGACTAGATAGCGTCAACGATATAAGTTAGCGATAGTACCAATGATGATATCTGTCTACATCCGCACGTGACAGATCCTCTAAGATATATTATCTCACTAGAATCATATGATACGTTTTATCTTCAAATTGTATCTTCGAAGGATGGTTATAAGTAGTCAAGGCTCTCGTCTCCTAATCGATGTGGGATAATAACATCAACTTAGAAGACCATGCTTAATAAGCTACCTTTCACTAGTAGACCACTTATCTTTCACAGCTAGTTTAACAATGAAGCAATACTAGGGATTTGAATGAGATTTGAACAAGAATCATGAGACTTTATATATCCTATAAACTTTTTCTCTAGGTTCCCATGGTTTTAACCTTACTAAATCTTCCACATTGATAACTAACGAAAATATAAAGATCACTTTCATCCTAATAGATTTCTTTTCAAAAAGCTTATATTTTTTTGTTTTTGTTTTTATCTATCTTGCTTTTAAAAGCATTGCGTCAGCCAATATATTTTCGTATACAATTGTAACAGCTAGTCTAAGACTTTGTTATTTATTAGACTCTAGTTACATTGGTTGTTCAAGTTTGAGTTGATAAGCTCTGAGTTTGTAATTCCTTAGGAATCAATCTCCTTGATAAATAGGAGGAACCAGTTAGCATTTGTAATTATATATATGTCTTTCATTAATGAAATTCTATAGAAAATTCTCTCTCAAAGCTAAGTTTTGTTATGGTATCAGAGTAGTCTCTGATCCTCCATTTAATTTTATAAAATGTCAAAATCAATTCCATTAAACATAGACAACCACCTTATCACCATTAACACTGCTCAAGCTCCTCTCAAACTGAATTCTTCCAACCATACTTCCTGGAAAATTCAATTTGAAACTATCTTTGTTGGCTATGATTTTCTTAGTTACATTATTGGATCAAAGTCGTGCCCACCAACAAACCTCATAATTGATGGCACCAGTGCTTTTAATCTTGCCTACAGGCTCTGGGTTAGGCAAGACCAACTCATCAAAAATGCTTTCATTAGCAATCTCTCTCCCCTATTAGTTTCCTTTGTGGCGTGAACCACCTCTTCTCGTGAAGCATGAAATGTTCTTACCACCTCATATGCAAAACCTTCCCGTGGTCGTATCAAGCAAGTGAAAACGCAGTTGAAGAATCTCACCAAATGCACCATGAGCATCATAGATTTTGTCTATTTTGTCAAGGCAAGATCCAATGAACTCGCTGTCTTTGGTGTTTCCATGGATATCAAAGATCTTACTGAAAGGATTTTGGAAGGTTTAGATGACGACTACAAGGAACATGTCCAAACTGTCCAAGCCCGAGATATTGCAATCTCCTTCGATGAGCTTTATGAGAAGCTTCTTTCATTTGAAGCATCGCTTTAAACACAATTGCGTTCCTCTAATCTTGGACCTGTTACTACCAATTCCATGACTCAAAACTCTAACAACACCAACTGGAGACCCTTAAAAACCAACTAAAGACCCTCGTTCTCTCTTCCGGGGAACAATTTTCATCCATCATCCAACACCAACTTTCAATCGTTCATGCCCAACACCCCTACAAATCAAGGCTAAAAAAATTGATTGCCTGCACAGCCCTATCTGGGACATTGTAAATATATGGAATTCAGGGGCACATTGCTAAATAATGTCCCTCATTTCATTTGGTGCCAATTTTAGGTTCTAGGAATGCCAACTCCTTTTATGGTATGACATCATCATGACATCTCCATACTAAATTTACTTTTCAATCTCCATCCAATAATGCAACGTTGTTACTGGATAGTGGAGCATCTCATCACATCACTGCAAATCTGAACAATCTTTCCCTTCATGCACCTTACACCGGTCACAATGATGTTATGATGGAGACGATACCAACCTTCCCATAAGTCACACTGGTTCAGTATTACTTATTACATCCAACTTTTCCTTTCATTAAAAGATGTTTTGTGAGTTCTATAAATGCAAAAAAAATTAATTTTCATTGCCTTGTTTTGTATAACTAATAACGTCTTTATTGAACTTTTCCGTACTTGTTTTCATGTGATGGACTTATAGATGGGGGACATCCTTCTGTAAGGTGGAACTAAAAATGGTGTTTATGAATTGTCAATTGCAAGCTTTCCCTCATCTTCTATTCCCGTCTTCTCCACTATTAAAACAATAGTATTCATTTAACACCAACGACTTGGTCAACCAACCTCTTATATTCTTAACTATATTTTATCATTTTATCATTTACATTGTTTTTCTCAAAAGGATTTATGATGTAATGCATGTTTAAGCAATAAAAGTCATAAACTATCATTTTCTACATTTACCTTGATCACAACTCGTCCTCTTTAAATTATATTTTCTTATGTTTAGACCTCTCCTATTGTCTCACATGATGCTTACAAATATTATGTCATTTTTGTTGATCATTTTACCAAGTACATATGGTTCATCCATTAAAACAAAAATCTAATGTTCAAATAATGTTCAAGCATTATAAAGCCATTATTAAAAAACATTTCTAACAAAACATTATCTCCCTTTATTCAAAATAACGTGGTGAGTACATTGCTCTCAAAGCATTTCTTTCAGAAAATGGAATAAGTCATCTCCTTACTCCACCACACGCACCTGAACATAATGGGTATTCTGGACGGAGACATCTTCACATTGTTGAAACAGGCCTTGCACTTCTTTTTCATGCTTGCATTCTAACCATATTCTGGACTTATGCTTTCACCACCACAGTTTATTTAATTAATAGAATGTTTACTCCCATGTTAAACATGTCTTCTCCATATGAGTCAATCTTTCACAGGAGTTCTAATTTTTCTAAACTTAAAGTGTTCTGGCGTTTGTGTTATCCTTAGTTAGGTTCATGCACATCTCATAAACTTATACAAAGTCCAAGCCTTATGTCTTTCTTGGATATTCTTTTTCTCAAAGTGCATATCTATGTTTTGATAAATCCACCAAAAAAATACATGTCTTCCATCATGTGCAATTTATAGAGTCTGTCTTTCCTTATAACTCTTCTCCCACTGCCCCATCAAGTCCTTCATCTCATGTGTTTGACTGGATTCCTCCACTCATTACTATTTCTTTTACATCTTAGTAGCAACTAGCTCTCTCAACTCCATATCAACAACGTCATGCAAATGTTTCTCCTTTTATGGGCTCTTAATTGTGTCCTTCATCATCTTCTTCTTACACTACCGAAGCTCTGCCCACTATCCCCTCTTCACCGGTACTTTCTCGTTCCTCTCCTATTAACCCTATACTTCTCACTCTGTCTCTCATGTCTCAACCACCTTTACCATCACCTCAAAAAAATCCCAACCACTCCATAATCACTCAGCCCAAGAACAATATCAAGAAACCTGTACAAAAACTCACACTTCACACCGTTAAATCATCCAACTCCTAAACTAAACCTTCTACCATTTCTCAGGCGATCAAAGTTCCCAACTAGTATAAAGTTATATCTGAGGAATATGATGCTCTTATTCGAAATGGCATGTAGGAACTTGTTTTTTTGTGATGGTATCACTAACCTTGTTAGATATAGGTGAGTTTATCGCATCAAAAGAAACTCTGATGGTTTCATTGATCGGTTTAAAGCATGTATTATTGCTAAAGGCTTTCACCAACATCTTAGAGTGGGCTATCATAAGACCTATAGTCTTGTTATTAAGACAACAACTATTCATTTGGTGCTTAGTCTTGTTGTCAGTCAAGGATGGTCTCTTAAATAAAAAGACATCGACAATGCTTTCCTTCAAAGCCGCCTCTTTAAAACTGTGTACACGGCGCAACCACCTGGGTTGGTTCATCATGACAATCCCTCCTTTATCTGCAAACTCTATAAAGCTATTCATGGGCTTAAACAAGCGCCTCAAGTCTGGTACGTTCTATAATTCCCACTTTGATACCTCTCTATTTATCTTTAGCAGTGCTCAGAATGTTATATATTTATTGGTTTATGTAGATGACATAATTGTCATAGAAAGCAATGATGATATTCTCTCATAATTTTTCAAGCCTTGCCTAATGTTTCTCTCTTAAAGATCTTAGTGATTTGTCATACTTCTTAGTATTGAAGTTGTTTCTCACAAGTATGGCCTCCTACTCTCTCAACGTAGGCATATCACTTACCTACTTACTTGCCTGACTGAAAGCCAAACCGGTCCTCATACCCATACCAAGCACTATCTTTGTTGTTTCCTTAAAGTTTGGCTCGTCAATACCTGATCCCACCATTTATAATGAAGTTGTAGGAAGTTTTTAATATTTCTCTCTTACAAGACTGGATGTGTC